AGAGAGAGAGAGAGAGAGAGAGAGAGAGAGAGAGAGAGAGAGAGAGAGAGATTCAGTTATAAAGAGCGAAATTATGGCACTTGCTGGTAAATAGATGGAATTGGAGAACATCATATCAAGTGAAATAAGCCAGGTCCAAAGTCAATGGTCTAATGGTTTATTAGAAGCTAAAACAAAATAAAGGGGGAAAAAGAGGGTGGGACAATAGAAAAACTGTGAAAATGGAAGAGAGATTAGTGGAATGGGACTTTCTATGGGTATGAGATAAGAGTATAAGAGTAGAAAATGTCCACAATGCTTCACTCTCCAAAAATATGATAGAAACTGCAAAATATGATGATAGAGAGCACAGTTTGTTTGATCCAGCCATCTCCCGGCCCCCACCCCAATCTCCTCTTCATCTACCTTATGGTAGAGTTTTGGAAGACTAAAAATTACATTCTCATTGTCAACTTGTGATCAGGCTGAGAGTAGAGGGTGATCCAAATCTTTTTTTTTTTTCTCAGTTGCCCTCATCATTCTTAATTATAAACTGAACTGAGCAAGGAGAAAGACATAATGCAAGACATTTAATTTGTTCTGTAGACAAGCTAAGCAAACATGATTTTGCAGTCTACATTACTTGAGGCAACGGTGGAAGCATTTGAGAAAACAGTATTGGAGATGTTATTCTGGGAACTGGAAGTGCTCTTCATTGAGGCCTAGTTCTTATGATTTATGTTGTTAAACATCACCTTCCAAAATTATATTATTATTATTTCCTAAAGTAGCTAAAGTACTTTCTGTTGTATAAGACTGACCTGTTACTGACATTTCTACTAATTAAATATATCTCAACATTTCTTTGCTCCAGGAAATTGGAAGTGGAAAGAGAAAAGATGGAATCAGAGAAAAATAAGGTTGAAAAATTCAACTAATCAGTGATGTTTAAAAAAAATGCATTTATTTTGCAAAACAATCAAGAGAAAGAAAATCTGGTCTTAAATTTATTTATTTATTTTTCTTGCTCCCTTCCAGTTGTAAATCATCATGTT